TTAAAATGTCTACATTACATTATGTGACATTATGTTTTGCATAATGTAAGGCACATAATGCAGAATGCCCATCTCTACACGATACTACAACAATGAAAGCAAAAGGTTGCTAACAAAAAAAGACATCAGTGTGGGCTTTTTCCAAAATTGCTTAACACAAATCAAATTTCAAAAACTACCACTTTATTAACTTCTATGTTACTAACTATCGCTTTCTCTGGATTAAAAATATGGCTTACTCATATAATGTCATCAATCTGTCAAAACCCAAAATTACTACCATACTTATGAGAGATGCTTCATTCAGCCTCTGTTATATCTTATACTAAACGGTATGAAAACCATCTTCAAGAATCCAGGATTCGCGATGCAGACCCTAGAAATAATTTGATCCAAGGGCCAAATATTTGGAATTTGGCAGTAATTGACAATATCGACTTCAAAGCCTCCACCTTCTCGTATAATAATATCTTCGAAGTTAATGAAAAACTTCACATGCAACGTTACGAATGGTATTTCAATTTCTCTTCCTACTTCTTTTGATGACCTAATTGAAGGCAATAATTTCATTAATCAACCACTATTTGGAGAATCTCCAACTACCAACAATCTTTTAATAATATATAAGAATATTTTAAACACGATGTTAGAAACTCGAATAAATAATTTTGATATGGAAGATATACATTTAGAAATTACCAAAAAAATACCTATAGGTTGTAATATTTCACCCCCAAATCTCGTAATACTAAAACCTGGTGATCCACCCAATTGTGATGACAATGTTTATGCGGCATGTGAGATGTACCGTGATAACTTAAATCTTGATAGTAATAGTTATCTATATATCGCATGTGACCAAGCAATCTTTGAAAGATTAATCTCCTATAAAGAAACTCACGATGATGTTTGACTTCCTTTAGGACAATGGCACACATCTAAAAACATGAGCAGTACTCTGATTAAGATATTCTCAGGGTATGGAATATTCAATCTTGCAGCAACACTTGGTGCGCAATACTTAGACAAATTTGAACGTGTTGTCGATTATCGAGTAACATGCCGTGTTTTGGAATTAATCTGGATTGCAGTCGGAATTGCATTATGTCAGTATATAAAAGGCAAAAATGAAACCATGAAGGATATTTTAAATAGTAATAATCAATTGGTGAAAGTCTGGTATCTTTTTTTCTGTTGGACAGAATACTTCATAGGACATAAAGTTGGAATTAGAAAGGGAAACTACGAAGTGCAGATAGCAAATTTAGCTGCATTTACACTTCTTTTTACTGCAGCTAGAAAATTTAAGTATGCAACTGCTACAACGCACTTTTTGGCTCAAACTTGTGATGATCCACTCTACAAAAATTATTGCAGAGTATATGTTCAGTAAACCTTACTAGAGAAGAACCTATTTAGCATTTGATGAAGCACTTGAAACTTACAGTGTAAAATTCATCAAACAAAAAATTAAGGCTGCCCAAAGCGAGAGAAATAGATTATCAATGCTTCTTGCAGAATATACTAATGACATCGTAGCTAGTCAAAGTGATCGTGCAGTCAAATCACGTAAAGATTCGCTTTGGTCCTTGGTTACAAAATTATTATCTGCCTTTAACCATTCAAATCCTGCTACGTACTATTTATTTGAAGATGCACCAGAAATAAGTGAAAATGGTATTAAAAATATTCTTTCTTTTTACGAAATGGGTAAATTACGATTTCAAAAAGTACTTGACCAAGATGTATACAAAATTGAGCCCCGAGTAGCTTCTGGACGTCATGCAGCGGATGTAAGTATCCACACTTATACTCAACTTGAAAATGTTAAAAAACAAAAGAGTAAATCAGGCAACGTTGTTCAAGAATCAACTATCCAACAGAACACATTGGCTCTATTATCTGAAATTAGCCTCCCAAAACAGACACGTCGTATTACTACAGAGGCGGAAAAAACTATACTTGCTCAATTATTTGATTATGAAGAAAACTTGCCTGAAACTGCAGTTACAAAGGTTTTTTGGGAACTTCAACCTGTTTCTTTAGACTGGACGACTGAGAGAATTAAGATGTATTAGAGAAATAACCATCGTAGAATACTTCAAAAATAAGATAATAATCTCAGATCTTACATGTAAATCGTTTATTTGTAACAACCCAATTCATACAACAATTCTTTTATAATTCTAATAATCCTTGAACCCGTGCATATTGTTATCTAATTTGACCAAATTTTCACTCAACTAGATACAGTCAACTCTTACTATACCGAACCCTAGGTTCTGGTCAAAAAAAAGCTCATTATATAGAATTACTATGTTTTTTTAAGAGCTGTAGCTCTTGTTATACCAAACTAATATTAAAATTTAAAAATTTTAAGTTCGTTATATCCAGAGTTCGTTAAAAAAGTTAGTTATATCCAGAGTTAACTGTATTTGTTAATGTAATATTCAGAGATCTATAAAAAAAATAAAATTTTATATATATAAAAATGAATACTTATAAGTAAACTTTCAAAAGTTCTAAGTAAAGCTAAATTGTATCAATAAGATATTTTGAAGTGCTTTTCGTTTACAACCTTTTAAAATATGAAATTTCTTAAAAACGGACGAAACTAGAGAAAGATCTTGGTTCTTGTATAAAAAAATGCCGGTTTTCAAGCCCGATTTTTGCTAGTATATAATTATCAAATATATATGTTTTTGATATGAAATAAAAGTTTAAAACATGAATTTTATATTTATTAAAGGTCGAAATATTATTTCTTATTTGTAATTTAAAGTACTTTTAGTGAAAACTTCAACGTCATACATAACACGAAATTGATTTACTATTAAAGATCATTGTGGGGGACATGTCCTATGACTGTTAACCAAAGAATTAACTTTGAACAATCTTAATTATCTTGTTAATTAAATAAACCTAAATTTATTGAATTAAATATTAATGTAAAAATTTATATACCTGTAAGATCAGGTCTATCTTGTGAACTTTGTCCTGGTAATAGTTCAGAATAAATCTCAGGCCACCTGGGATTACAAGTAATAGTGATGAATAAGTCAGGTTTGCTAAAAGTTTGGACTAATGCTATAGAATCTTGATAACGTTGATATATGTCACGTGGACTACCCATAAAAGATGAAGGCAAAATTGTCTTAGTTCCTACTTCAGATGCACTTGTTATTTCTGATTGGTATGTATCGTGCAAGCCTTGATAGAGTTCTTTACGAAGTTTATCTTGATTTGAATATAAATAATTAAGTCATTCAGATTCAATTTTGACATAGTTGTCGACAATATATTGTTGAAAAAGTCGTCCTCCGAAATGAAGTAATGATGGAGAATTCTGACATATTTGTAATTTGTATGTATAGTACTGTTTAGTAGTTACTCTTTTTTGTGACTTATATTGCAGTATTTCAGGGTACTAACTGTGTTCACCTTGTGGAAATAAGAGTGAATATTGTATTGGGTCATAAGAACCAGAAACACGTTGTAGCCCATTAAATTTCGACTCTATAATGTTATCTCATTTCATATGATTTGTAGGTTCATGACCTTCTACCCAAAATTGCTGCAACTTGTGAAGCTGTTGGAACGTTATAAGTCTATTGATCTAAACCATGATCAGCTTTAACAAGAAGTCGAAGGTTTATTATGTTGTGATGGGAGGTGATTGAGCGGAAATTGGCAACGAATAGATTGTATTTGTTCAGTATTGACTTGTAACTTCTAAAGTTTCATGACAAAGTTTAGGCATAATAGTAAGCCTATTATTTGTTTTGTGTTCAGTATCGTAAATATATAATTGCAGAAACTTTGGCATTGTATTATTAGGAAGAAGAGGCCCAATTGAATGATATATGCCACCTTGGATTCGAAACGTATATACTCCATCTTTTCTTAATAAGAATTCAATAAGTAAATTTTATTATATATGTATTATTTGTTTGGAACATTAATTAAATCATATCTGATTTTACCATTAGCAAGATTTTCATCTATTCTCACTCCCATAGAAGTAAACACAAAAATGTTATTATAAGCACGAATATTACAGCGAAATTTATTTCCCACATTATCAAGTCTTCTAAATAAATCTTCTAAGGGTGCAATATATTCAGTCAAAGCTAATCTATTATAGGTAGAGATTATATATTAGTTACTTAATATACTATGTAATTTGTGATTGATAAATTATTATTAACAGTTATTTTTATCTTACTTAATTTTTTCATTTATACAACACTTTCCTTCTATTTCTCCTGCAAAAAGTTTGGCATTACAGTAAAGACAAATGCGAGAAGGTTTAAGAGAATGATGAACAGAAGAAACTCTTTCTTGAAAATTTAGACCAATTTTATATTTTCTTTGTTGTTTTATCGCTGAAGTTCGTACGCGTCGAGACCTGTGATTCTGAATGATTCTGTCTGTTCGGATATTTGCAGGATCTTTAACAGTTCGTGGAAGTAGACGACACAAAGGAGGCATTTTATTTTAGTAAGTATAAGCATGTATTTAAATATGTATTTGAGCAAGTACAAATAAATGTAAATGCCGTTGCTGAAATTGAAAATTCAAAATTGAAAATTTAAAATTAATTGAAAATTGAAAATTAAAATTGAAAATTGGAAATTGGAAATTAAAATAAATAAATAATAAAAATAAGGTATTATCAGCTTTTATTTATACACAATTTAACACGATTCATAATTATTAAATGGTTTTATTTTTTATTATAATAATCAATAAAACAATAAATTATATAACATCAGATCAGATTACTGTAATTACTAAATTATTTTGCTCTTATCTTTTATATTTATTACAGATTCTGGTTATTTTGTCTAATTACTGAATTTGTATTAACTTGAAAAAAAAATAAGAATTACAGTTTATGAAAAAAAAAGAATTCCAAGTTCATAGATATGTGGTAATTTAATATGTAATAGACAACATCAAAATACATAACTATAAAGTGTTTTCTACATCAAGAACAGATAAATTTCTATAGTCTCTTTCACGGTGCAATCACATTTCGATAAAATTTGTGAATAGTTGTTAGCATATATTGTAAAATATCAAAAGTTATGATGTCAGTTAATAGATTGTTACTGAAATAATTGTCATCAGAGAATTAATGCAAAAATATGAATAATAGAATCGTAATAATTTTATAACCTTTAGCAGCGAATGTCGTAATAATTAACGCTTAATCTGCAGACAATCGATCATAATTTACATATTATGCAGAATTCTGCAGAAAATTGATCATTATTTGTGTTTTGGCAGAATTATGCAGATGATCGATTATTTACGTTTTGTGCAGAATATACAGGTGATCGACAAAATTCCGTCTAGTGACATAACTGTATATATGTACGTACCTTAATTGAAGTCAATTACCGATTATGACCTCAAGTCGTTTACTAATTTACTGACAACCAATAGAAATAGAAAAATGTACAAACTCTGTATTAGATAGTAGAGATGTATATAAGCAGTATGAAGTCAAAATAGAAATATAAAAGAAAGCATTTTAGGTGTAGTGACTTTTTCTATAAATAAAATATATATGAATAATAAATATATATGTACTGATATTAAGTTATAACTGAGAACTGGTAAATGCATGATTTACCACAGTAGTAGATGCTTATGCTTTGGTGCAGTGACCTATAATTAACAGATTAAAACTGAGAACCGGGCGAATGCAAAATCCACATGGTAGTAAGTGCTTATGCTTCGGTATAGTGACCTATCATTCATAAATTTAATATTGCGTATTAATATATCTGCAAGAGCTATTTGGTGTATGTTTATTTGGGTGGGAGGGTAGGGACTAAAAACAATAAAGCCAGATAATAATAATTGGGCAGCAAAAGAAACAAGCACTTTTGATTATCCTTTATTCCCATTTCCTTAAATTCTTATTTAATCATCACTTATTTACTAAATTTATACAATTCTTTATTCTGTTATGTTTTATTAGAGCAATCCTTATGATAATAACACTAATGCTGACTACATTAGCTCATGTGTTATTATTCTCGCTCGGATTACTTTATTTAAGAAACATATAAAATAATATTATAAAAGACAAAAAGAGAATTAGAACTATGATAAGATTACCAAATATATTAATATTAAAACCCTATTCTCACAGAGGTATTTTGCAATACACAAGAAAGTTTGGATATGAAACTACATGAACCTGCATATAAATCTATACAAGACAATATATAGAAAAGCATATTTACAGCATGTAATAAGGCACAGATTCCATGCAACAGTACACGTACTAATATGCAATTTTATATATTTTCTCGTGCATTGTCTCATGCATATTTACATGCAGATAACATTTTTTTTTTTTTTTTATTTATGATTTTGCCGTATACATGATAAGATTAGTTACAATTTTTCTATCACGATGATATA